TCTCTCTCTCTCTCTCTCTCTCTCTCTCTCTCTCTCTCTCTCTCTCTCTCTCTCTCTCTCTCTCTATATATATATATATATATATATATATATATATATATATATATATATATATATATATATATATATATATATATATATATATATATATATATATATATATATATATATATATATATATATATATATATATATATATATATATATATATATATATATATATATATATATTATTTTAGTCTTTAAGTTATTTTAAAATATCAAGTTAGTACTTTAAGTTTTTTTTTTTGTAACGCTTTGTTCCTTTATGTTAAGTAACATTTGCGTCGTTGACTTTTTTTAAAATCTTTGTTACAATAAATTGCAAACTCGTATACTATTTGAACTGGTTTTTCGCGTTAATCACAAATATGTAATTAAATTTGAGTTTGATTGTGTATTTTGGTTGGACCGAACGATTTTTCATTATGTATTTGTCCATTTTTTTTTCTTCTGAATCTCATGAACCGTAACTTGTTTAATAAATTTGATTGCATATTCGTTATCATCGCGAAAAGTCAGTTCAAATGGTATATGAGTTTGCAATTTATTCTAATAGAGATTTTAAAAAATGTCAATGACGCAAACATTACTTAACATAAAGGACCAAAGCGTTACAAAAAAAACTTATAGGACTAACTTGATATTTTAAAATAACTTAAAGGACCTAGACAATATTTTTGCCATATATATGTGTGTGTGTGTGTGTGTGTGTGTGTGTGTGTGTGTGTGTGTGTGTATATATATATATATATATATATATATATATATATATATATATATATATATATATATATATATATATATATATATATATATATATATATATATATATATATATATATATATATATATATATATATATATATATATATATATATATATATATATATATATATATATATATATATATATATATTGAAAATACTACTTTTATATGAATAGGAATAATTATTAGCCCTTAGATTTAAAAATAAATGTTGCGCCCTCTTGTCATAGATGGTGGAAAAATGCTCATATATCCAGCACTGATATCAAAACACAAACACAACAAATAATAAATAAAAAATGTTTCGTAACAATTAAATAAGAAATCAACAACAAATAATAAATAAAAAATGTTTCGTAACAATTAAATAAGAAATCAACAACAAATAATAAATTCAAGTATACCTGTAATAGACTCAAATAAGGAGCAAGTTGTTTGGTCTCAAATACTGTCGTCACTCCAAGTGTTATATATAGAAGGGTCAACACAGCACACCCCAAGCTCAACTAGTATCCTCGAGGCTACTGAAGAGACACATGTATTGGGTATTGATATAAACACCAGACTTTGTCGCAAAGAGAGTACATGCTACCAAATGTAGCATGTACACCACCCTATCAATAGCCTTATAACTCCCAGCCGCTACAAGCTCGTCGTACGTCTTTCAAAGCCAAGACATACGAAGGTGAGTGGCACTAGTGATGCCAAACTCCTTCTACACGACCGTCTCAAAAACTCCCAAATCTCGTGCAACAGTCATACATGCAATGAACATGCTAAAAACAAGTGACGTCCAAAATCGGTCGCCTATTGGGAAATGGAATAATGAGGAGACATCATCCAAGGTGATAGTCATCTACCTAAATGGAAGATGTCTCATTGTGCCACCTCTCAACAAAATCATTAAGCAGTGGAGCGTCGAGCATAGTGAGGGAGCAGTAGGAGAAATCAAGCAGCTCAAACTTTCGTATAATCTGGCTGACCTGCTCAGGCATGGGAACATTCAAGAAGTCTTTCATCTTTGACTTGTGTTGTAATACCCCATATTTTCCTTAAATGCTCAATTAGGTGTCAGTTAGGATCAACTAGGTTTCTATGCATTCTAACTTGTGTCAGTTGGACTAATAAAAGCTCTTAAGTGCTCTAAATGTCATAAGTTGGGACCAATAGAGTAACTAGCGGACTCTGAAAGAGATCAATTATTGATAAAAAAGACAAACCAATATTAATAAGTACAAGAGATCGCATTTTAGTAACTCTAATATTTGGTGAATCGGTGTTAGATGACAAATATCAGATGGAGATATTTTACCATTATATATATGTGTGTGTGTGTGTGTGTGTGTGTGTGTGTGTGTGTGTGTGTGTGTGTGTGTGTGTGTGTGTGTGTGTGTGTGTTATATTTATGAGAAAGAGGAAGAATGAAAGATAGTAAGAAAAACAAGGAAAGGAAGAGGAAAAGAGAAGAGAAAGGGAAAGAAGAGAAGAAACTCATGGAAGAACTTGGATTCATCATTAATTCATCTCATTTTCTTCTTCAAGGTGAGTTCCATTAGTTAGGAACTTAGGGTAAATGATTGGGAAAGACAATGAGAATATTTATGGGTTAGGGTTTGTGTTGAAGTGAATGCAAATGTTGTTAATCATGTCATGAATGTTGTTCTAGTGTTGTATGTATGGTTTTTTTGATGTATATGACCCTTATGAAGAGTGGGGTTGGAAACCCCTTTGAAATGAACAGTTTCTGAAAGTGAGAAATTCTGCATCGCAACCTCGCGCAACAAACTAGCAACAAGCGTGACAGTCTGCTATGGTCGCACAACGAGCCTCCGGTGAGGTGAAGGCGAGACCTTGCCTAGAGGTCGCACAACTACCACTGAGGCTTTTTGCTACTGCCTCCAAAATACTCTATCTCACCCATAGCTCGCACAAAGAACTCAAAGCGAGGCGACCTCGCTCAGAGGTCGCACAACGAGCATGAAAGTTTTGTTCTCTTTTGTTTGTTTACTTGTTTGGTTGCTTCTTGTGCATAACTTATGATGCTATGGATTATTTCACATGATTATTGAGGATTGTTATGCATGTTTACCATGAATAATTGATTGATATATATATATATGATGACAAAATATGCGAAAAGTGAAGAAGAACACTTAGTGTTGTGGTGACCACCATGTGAATGGTTTGATATTTGGTGATGGACCTTTGTTCCGAAATTCCTATTTGGTGAAGGGCTTGGCTCCGAAAGACCTATCTATGTTGATTCTATGTCTTATGTGTGTTAATTATGATTGACTAAATTGTGTTATTATATGTACCTTATGTGTAATGTATGATGTATACATGGGTATTTTGATTGTGTGATGACATGCTTTAAAGACTATAAGAATGGCGAGGAAAACCCTTGGTATTAGTTAATCGAATAAACTAGTAAAGTGATTAGGACATGATGAATAACATAGATGACAATGCTTGTGCAATAATCCCTAGGTGTGTATCATTGGCAAGTAATTGTCTAGTTGTGAGGAGAGTTTTGTATGGAACATGTATGGTTTATGTTGTTTATGGTTAAGGCGAATGTGATGCATTGTGATTGTTTGAATATAATTACGCTATCCTTAGTGATTACATAAACGAATGGAGCCTACGGGTAAAATGCTTGAGATAGGAGGGGTCCCATGAGAAGTGACGATTCATAAGGTCGATTGTATGTCCCTTAGAATCTAAATTCATTCGACGTTATGTTATGCTTTATCACGTAGTCGCAAACAATATGTTGAGATGTTTCGTTCTAAGAGTTCAGGCTTATGTAGAGCGCTCCTCTGGAATGTACGCATTATTACTTTGACAGGTTTCATTCCATGTGTATTACGAATGGAGCCTACGGGTAAAATGCTTGAGATGGGAAGTGACGATTCATGTGGAAAGCACCTTGAATCCGAATCCATTTCGTATGTCAAAGTACGTTACAAGGATCCATGACCCGTACCGAAAGTCCTAGACGTAAGAGAGGACAGGAAAAAGGGATGTCTTAGTATAGTTTTTGATTAGTGATTGTTTGAGTTGATGAACTCAAGAGACATGTTTTCATACATTGTGAATTGTGTGAACTCAAGTCTTATCTTTTTCCCTTTTGACTTGAGAAAAAATACCGAAAGTTTTGTAATTTTCGGTATAAAAATTTACTGTATTTGAAATTTTCAATACACTTTTTTAAATTTCTGGTATCGCCCCAGAATTTTCAAATTCGCGCGTGTATACTGCAGATTTGAAAAATAGATGAAATGATTTTGCAAAAACAGTATAATCTTTTCATATGTGATGGAGGTGTCAGATTCAAGTGGAGAGATGTCAAATTAAATAAAAAGTTAAGTCTGATAAAGGACCAAAACAAAGGTAGGGATGGAAATCAAAATTTCTTTTCCAGGAAATTTTGCAAATAACATCCAAAGAACAGAGGAAAAATATGTATCAATTCTAAAATTTATACGTGCAACTTAATTTAATTTGCATCGAATTTAAGAAATCAATATAAAATCCGTTCCGAACGATTTTCCCAAATTAACATCCATACAAATCTAGTAATATTTAATCTTTTTTATAGTTTTTGACTTTCTCAAATTAATTTGCAATTTTTATTTAAATCGATTAAAATTTGAACACCCCCCTACTTCCAAAATGAAACTTTTGAACAATAAAATGATCGTGAAAAAACACACGTCCAAAAGTAAACATATGAAAGATTAAGGAACTGTGGAAAAAAACTACTATGCATGTGTCTCCATACAAAGTGCAAATTGAATCTTTCACTTCTTACTGCACAGACCTTATAGTGCAAGATTTTGACTGTTTTTATTTTTTCTTTCTACTTTATATTCAGATAGAGCTGAAAATTTGCAGACAGCAAAATCATTTTGAGGTAGAACAACTCTTTTTGGGATTGGCTATAGTGATATATCCCAACAATACCATGCACTGTCATTCTAATGCTGGTCTAATCTACTATTCAAAATCTACACTGCATGATAGAACTTTAACCAGATATGGATGCAAGAATTGAATCACAAGGGCTCTAAATGTGCCTTTATTTGGCTTCCTCCGTTTGAGGCCGACCTGTTGTTCTATCATTCGATTACAAATTTTGAATTCTTCTACAATTTTTTCAGCCACAGAACTGCTGCTCGTGACGAAACTAGAATATGTACAAACAAGCTATTGAAGTAAAAACCGTGGTTAACAATATTGACACAAAGTTCACTGCGTTGTTGTCAAGAATGCTCAGACCTGAAATCTTTTTAACCGTTGGTCCTGGCTTCCCAACAACCTACAGCATAGGGTGAGAAATTTCAACAATCAAATATCCAATGTCGTTGGATCTTTCATTGACATTGTTCAAATGTAATGTAAATATGAGAGAAATATGTATCAGAATTTACCTTCTGGCGAATAGAGCAGAATCCACTAAATTGTAACGTTGCACCCAATAGAGAGTCGATGATACTCCCACCTAGTCCTGCCGTGGTGGCGATGGGTATTACCAGTAGTTGCTTGAGAACTCTATCAGACCCGCACCTGATTGTCGAAAATTCTAAAAGAACATACGATAGTCCAATGACACTTCCACCGGCTGCAGCAGCTAGAAGTCCTGCTTTTGTCACACCACCATTTGTACCCTTCCTCACAGGCTGATAAAATATCAAAAATAGAAGAATTTTAAACCATACAGTGAAATTTTTCAATAGAACTTTCTCTGAAAAGATTCACCGATGTTGTAACCTATAAGCCACTCTTGGTAGCATATATTTCAGACAGTGTTTCGTTAACATTGGTCTCTAGCCAAACAGCAACGTGATTTACGTGGATGCTCATATAGGGCTTAGACTAAAAGACTATTTACCTTGAAGGTTGTGATGAGACGAGGTCGGTCATCACTGAGAACTCCAATCTCTGAAGACCAGGTATCTCCATTGCAGCAGCAATAATGGCCAATAACGCCACCAATAAGAGCGGTAATCAGAGGCGACTCTTTAGCGTTCAAGCAATAATCCTTCCCGTCAGTTAAAACCCATAAAGCTACAACCAGAACAGAGGCAATACCACTATTTGACAGAACTTGTATCCTGAAAAAATAACAGTAGGCAAAATTTAGACCAAACTCAGGTCAATTATCTCACAATAATGGTACGAGAAAATCCCTCAATCAATTCAATGATGTTAATAATACTACCCCGTTCCTTTTTATAAGAGACAACTTGTTTTTTATGTTTATTGAATAATCAATGTATGTAGTCTATAAAATGACCAACTAGGAACTATAAACTAATCAATGCATCTAGTCTATAAACGGAGGTATAGTAACTACGAATGGACAACAAGACAAGGTAGTAGTACAAGAAAAAGACCCAAGTACTGAAAACTGAAGTAAAAAGGGGACACAAACCAGTTTCTTTGTCCACCTATTTTGAATTCAGGATCGATTAACCGCTTTTTATCTTGTCCCTTCTTTGTGAGTGTAGAAGAAGTGAAAAAGAAAGCAAGTAGCATCGCCGCAAACCTTGAAACAAAAACCAACAATAAACGACAAAAAGATTGTACAGAACAAACAAGGGATAATTAAGATGTTAGTTACCTGAATCCTATAAAAATGTGAAGCGACATAACGAAGAAACCCGCGAGAGCTCCAGAAGTGCTGAGGGATTTTTTTCTGTGAGCTCTGAATGCGATGAAGGAACCGACGGAGACCGCAACCAAGGGTTGGATCCACTGGGAATGAGATGAGTCCATTTGGATTTCCAAATTGGGTGTGGCTGATGCGAATGATGATGTTGGGTTTGAGTTGTAGGAGCAAGAACAACAACTACCAGTTGGGGGAAGTATAAGAACATGTGACTTTGATATAATGGTATTGGTTACAACATTCTTACCAAACCAGGCAACGAGGAACTATTAATATTCTCTTCTTTTATTTTTTTGAAGGGTTAATATTCTCTTCTTTGTTCTTAGTTCTTGCACCAATAATTTATTTTGTTGGCTTTAGAAAACTAAACTAATATCTTTGGCAATAGTTCATTACACTCTATGATTTAAACTATAATTTATTTTTACATGATTTAGATTTATCTAAATGTTAATATTATGTTGATTGGAATTGTCACAATTTATGATGGTGGAAGTTAATTTTCGTCGGGACTAGGGGTGTTCATGGGTGCGGGTCGACCCGCAAACCCGCCTACCCAAACCGAACCAACCCACTAATTACCCGGACTCATTCATTTACGGGTATACCCGATCCAACCCGTATAGATTTGGTTCGGGTATTGGGTTTTAGTTTTTAAACCCATGAACCCGTTGACCCAACCCGTTGACGTGACATAATTAATTATTATTATTATTATTATATTATTATTTATAAATTTTAAAGTTGCTATAACTTTGTAAATTGTAACGTACACAAAGATCTTTTGCACTTTCCTTTCAGTTTCCAATCACACATTAAATTATTATTATTATTATAATTAAACATTATTATTAATATTAATCATGCAAAATATGATGATAGGTTCAATGTAATGTACTATTTTGTTTCATATGATGCAAAGTACTATTTTGTTTCATATGATGAAAATATATTTTGATGCAAAGTCCTATTCTGTTTCATATTATTAATTTAAATATATTTTGTTTAATGTTGTTTTAATAATAATTTATATTAAAAATTGTTTTTTTATAGAAAATGGAAGTGGAACAATCACAAATTGTCAGTGAAGATGTTGCTCATCCACTTGAACAAGAGCAAGAAGTTCAACAAATACAAGGAGAAGGGTTGTCATCATTGCCACCAAGTGCACTAATAGAGGTAAGCAAAAGAAAACCCTCTAGAAAACCTTCTACAGTTTGGAAAGATTTTAAAAGGGTTAATGATAAGGCTATATGTAAGTATTGTGGGAAACAATATGCTGCAAATAGTGGTAGTCATGGCACTACTAACATGCGTAAACATTTGAAAGTGTGCCTGAAAAATCCAAATAGGGTAGTTGATAAGAAACAAAAAACTATAGCTATTGGAAATGAAAGTGAGGATGATCCTAATAGTGTTAGCTTGAAACTTGTTGATTTTAATCAAGAGAGGACTAGATTAACACTTGCAAAGATGATAATCATTGATGAGCTCCCTTTTAAATATGTTGAAAATGAAGGATTTAATATGTTCATGAAAGAGGCTCAACCAAGATTCAAAATTCCATCTCGTGTCACTGTTGCCAGAGATTGTTTATGCTTGTACTTCGATGAGAAAGAAAAATTGAAATCTATGTTGTCTGCTAATAAACAAATGGTGTCTCTTACCACTGATACTTGGACATCGATTCAGAATATGAATTATATGTGTGTTACAGCTCACTATATTGATGACGAGTGAAATTTAAAGAAGAGTATATTAAGCTTTGGTATAATTGCTGACCATAAAGGTGAAACTATAGGGATAACATTAGAGAATTGTATGAAGGAATGGGGTATCAAGTCTATATGTTGTGTGACTGTTGATAATGCAAGTGCTAACAATTTGGCAATTGATTATTTAAATCGAGGCATGAATTTTTGGAATGGTCGTACTTTGTTTAATGGGGAGTACTTGCATATGAGATGTAGTGCTCACATATTAAACTTGATTGTCAAAGAAGGAATAAAAGATATTGATGAATCTGTTAAAAGAATTAGGGCTGCATGTAAGTTTGTCAAGGCTTCTCCTAGTAGGTTGGCTACTTTCAAGAAGTGTGCAGAAGCTGTTGGTGTATGTTCTAAAGCATTGGTAACACTAGATGTAGAAACCAGATGGAACTCTACTTATTTAATGTTGAACATCGCTGAAAAGTATGAACATGCATTTTACCGCTTAGAACATGCTGATGTTGCATTTTTAACTAATCTCCGTATTGAGTCGAAAGGATGTCCTAATCGAGCTGATTGGGAACGAGCTCGTATTTTTGTGAAGTTTTTGAAAACTTTTTATGATGCCACACTTTCTTTTTCTGGGTCATTGCATGTTACTGCTAACTCTTTTTTCAAACAGTTGATGGATATTAAAAAAACGTTGAATAAATGGAGGCACAATGTTAGTGATCCAATTTTGAAAACCATGACAGCAAATATGCAATTGAAGTACAACAAGTATTGGGAAAGCAATACAATAAATTATCTTCTCTTTGTTGCTATTTATCTTGATCCTCGTTATAAGCTTGACTATATTGAATTTTGTTTTACTCGGATGTATGGTGAAAAATTGTCAGAGGATATGTTAAAGAAATTGAAATCTCTCATTGCTAAATTGTTTGAGCACTATTTATTTTTGTATCCTGTTTCTCATAATGGTGGTTCCAATGCCTCATCTTCAAACATTGCCTCTCATTCTAGAATTGAAAATGGTGAAGATGATGAAGATTGAGACAATTTGTTTAGAATGAATATGAAGAAAAAACAATGTGAAGTGCAAAAAAATGAGTTGGAAAGGTATTTGGAGGATGGTGTTGAAGATGATTCTCCTACATTTAATATTCTCACTTGGTGGAAAGGAAAAACAAATAAATATCATGTGCTTTCCCGCATAGCTAGAGATATATTGGCTATCCCTGTATCCACTGTATCTTCTGAATCCGCTTTTAGTACAGGAGGTCGTGTCCTTGATTCATTTCGTAGTTCCTTGAATCCCTCTACCGTTGAAGCTTTGATTTGTACTCAAAATTGGATCAAATCTCCTAAGGTCATTGATTTAGAAAAAGAGTTGGTTGAATTGGAAAAGGTTGAGTCAGGTATGAATTATATGTTTGAATTTTAAAATCTATTTTATTTTAGTATTACATTACATTATTCTTATTAGTTGTTTGTGTTTACATATATAGAGTTAGCTGGATTAGTTTCTATTGATGTTGGCATTACTGCGGTTGAGCTCAATACAACTGTTACTACTAGATTTTAAGGTATTTTCTAGTGTTGTTTTTTTTCTTCTTCTTTTGACTATTGTTGCTTAAACTTTTAACTGTTGTTGCTGGATTTTATGTTGTTGCTAAATGTTTCATTGTTGTTGCTGGAATCTTTTACAGCTACTGTTGCTGGATTTTCTGTTGTTGCTAAACCTTTCACTGCTGGTGCTGGAATCTTTTATAGTTGTTGTTAGATTTTGGTGTTATTAGACCAATATTGGACCAATACATCTATGTCATTTTAAGACTAAGTGATGTTTATTTGCTTTTGAATTATTTAGAATTTATGAATTTTATGGAAATGATATTTTATGGAATTTTATATATTATTAAGTGTTAATATATATGATAGTTTACGGACCTACTTTTAAGCATGTGCTAGAAAAGGTAACATTTGAGTATCAAAACAACTAATATATACTGTATATTATTATATATTTGTTTTACATATGTTGATATATATTTGTAATGGATAACATTTGAGTATCAAAATAACTAATAAATTTTTAAAAATTAAGGTATATTAATGAAAATATATAAATAATTAATGGTGTATATGTATCTTAATATTTTTTATGACAAAGAAAATACATTTCAAAATTTTAATTGTTATATTTTTAATTATTCTATTTTATATGTAGGATTTGTCTCCACTACGTAAATAATTTAATTGTTTGAAATATGCAAAATTATATTGAATTGTGTTATAGATTTTTTAAATTGAAAATAATAATTATTATATACACAATCCGTGGACCCAACCCTACCCAACCCGTAAATATCCGGGTTGATTCGGGTCGGTTTTTAAAGTAGAATTACGGGTTTGATGATAAACCCAACCCATTGAAAGTTGAACGGGTTGGATAACGGGTTAAGGCGAACCCGGTCCAACCCAACTCGCGTACACCCCTAGTCGGGACAAGGGGGAATCAGTTCACTAAAGTGGTCGCTCTAGTTTCGGGACTCGTGTCTAAAAAAGGAAATTTGACAATGAGGGAAAAGTCATCAAGATTGTTTTCATAACCATTCATTTGCCCACTCCTCTTGAGAACACAAGGTCTTCCCTTATGGAGAGGAATAAGATATATCCTGGAAAATGGTCCATTGATGTGAAAGTAATTGCTTCCATAGACTTGGAGATGGGAAATTTTATGGAAGGTGGTGGTGGTGGCTTTTCAAAAAGCGGATCTTATGTTGTTCCTAGCGAATATAGGGTTTCTTTTTTGGACAGGAGTTTTGAAAGGATGACGTTTACATATGATTACCTCCATGCCACCGGTGATGTGGAAAAGGTCAAGGCGTCGGGCTCTTAAAAGGCGTTCCAACTTCTCAACACTTACTTTATGAAAGTGTTGTCTTAGGTCGAACTTTGTTCGAATATTTTGATGTTTCGTCTAAAAGGGAGAACGACTTAAAAACCAAAATGAAAAAGGTGCAGAGAGTTATGAGCTTAGTCATACCATGATGACTTCAGCTAAAGAGAGGATAATTACTCTCAAAAGAGAGTTATCCATCGCTAAGACCGACTTTGAAAAGGTTGGGCAAGAGAAGAATATGTTGTCGAAAGAGAAGAAGACCTTAGAGATGAGCCTTTAGAACCAAACCAATAAACTTGTTGAAGTAGAGGTTGAGTTGAGAAGTTTCAAGGTGGCTCTCGAGGAAGCCTGTATGGATGACTTCCATTTTGGTGATAAAAGATTTAAGAAGGCCAAGGAACATGTAAGTTATTTCTACTCTGACCTCTACCTCAGAGATCTAGACTATTTTAAGATGGTGGTGGACGTTCTTTTGGTGGAAGAGACTGACCAT